GCTGTTGTTGCTGCTGTTGTTGCTTCTGATGTTGCTGTTGTTGCTGCTGCTGCTGTTGAACCTTTTCGGAGTTCCATATGTCGCGCACGGCGTTGCTCTCGATGCGGAACTGCAGTTGCATTTCCGCGGCGGTCTCGATGATATATCGACGATGACGGGCAATCATTCTGATTGATTTTCCTAATAACACATAAAACGTATAATAAAAGAAGCTTAAGCCGATAGCATTTGAATCTTTAAACTTAGGTGCTATTATAATATTGAAATTTTAGCGTTTTAATATATTTTGTGTATCTCTCATAAAGAATTAATAAATAAATACAAAGTAATTAATAAAATAATTTATACCTTAACGTATAGGTATAGATATAGTTTAATAGAATAAATAACAATTAAAATACCAATGAATAGACGAAATCCTTGTTTCTACAATATTATTTTCGTACAAGAACATGTACAGGTGTATGATTTACAGGTTTGTAATTTATTTGTATCTTCGTTAACTTGTAAGATTACTGCTTACCGCCCTCGTCAGATTTATTAGCCGAAAGTAATTCATCGCGCAATCCAATTTTTCTGCTTCCTTTCGGACTGGTCTTTTGATGTCGCTTTTTCGAGCTCTCGTTCCAGTCCAATTGGAAGTTCGTGCAAGCAACGGTTTCATTATCCCTCCTCGCTGTGCTACTCTTTAGTATTTGTATTGCTGAGCTTTGCAAATTGAAAAATACTCATTAACAAGATATTAAAATCTAATCGCAATCGATATTAGGTGTATGTAGAGTTTTCACATCTGCGATACAAACATTGTTGCAATGAATATAAAACCCAGAAAGAGATACATATTTTATCGACGTTATTTTAATTCTTACTTTTTTCTGGGAACGAATCAATTGATTTTAATTAAAAATTGCACAATCAATATTATATTTTCAATCGCTAAATCAGATTTATACATCATCCCCAATTAAATACTACAGCGTAGATGGGTCATAACTCGTGATAATTTCTTTATCACGAAATTGTGTAGAGGGAAGAACTTCGCGGATCGTAAAAATAACACCGAAGTGCCGAAGCGAACTAACGGTTCCCGATGTAATCGCGTGCAACTCGGTGAAATTAACCGGGCGAAGTGTTCTTGAACTTCAGGAAGCATCCACGGTTCCACAGCCTCCGTAGCTGAACGGAAGTGGCGAGGCACGCTACCCGACGATTTACCGTCGTCCGGCCTGTACATTCTCTCATGCTGCTCGTCGTACTCGTAATTACCGTATTTCGCCAAGCGCGATTCGGAGATGACGTCTCGAACGAGTCTTGGACGATAATCACCATATTCCTCGTACTTCGCGGTTACTTCGCAACTCTGGCATTAAACGCGCGCGATAAGTTATCATTATGTCAAAATAAATTTTCCTTCCTCTCATCGTGAAAAAATCTGTACTGTTACGACGCGCGCATTTTTTTTTTTTTATTTTCAACAATTCGCAACTATATATTTTTACTATCTCCAATAAACGAAATTATTAAAATGATTGCGAATATAATTTCCGTTATCCTCGGAAAGAAATAAACGATGTACATGTAATATATTTCCGTAATATTTCAACGACAGAGAGTTCAGATTTGTTTTTTATTGCTGTACTGAACTGCCAAAGGATTTTCTTTTTCACTGTCAAAATATGTATGATATACACCTGTTTCATTTAAAGTAGGAAGAAATATTATAGTTCAGCTATACAAAACAAATCTATGATAGTTTCTTTCTTCTCTTACGTATAAATGTCCTCGGACAATGATAAACGACAGTAATATTAATTTAAAAAATGTTTGGAAATGCATATATAAAATGCGGTATTTATGAGATAAGTATCTTTTGCGCGTCTCACTTGAATCCAAAGAGAATGATTTAACTTTCGGAAAGGATCCTCGGGATCAAAGGTCCAGGTCTTGTCGGCGATCAAACTAATGTTTGCGTAAGCGCTATTCAGAAGCTCGTCGTATGACGGAAGTGGAGATATCATCATCTGTACATTATAACCGATTATATTGGATTCCGGTAGCCCGACGAATCGCGAGGTCGGTGAAATTTCGCGTGGAAAACGCAAACTTTCTCGTGTCTCGTTCACGAAGCGATCGAAAATTCGGTCTCAAGTCGACGAATAATAGTAGACGCTAATATATATATATATATATATAGTAAAAAATAATTAAAGAGAGTAAGTAATTTGACGCGATGAAACAGATCGGTTTTAATCGTTTTGACAAAAGTATCGGAACGTATACAAGAGATGAAGATCGAAGCCGACGTGATCGAGATTTATCGATGTAACATAGATAATGAGCTTTTTTCAGACATTTCTAAAGATTGATGCAGGCCCTGTAATTTGTTTATATCACTATAAGTTTTAGTTAAATTTATCTAAGCCAAATTGGACTTATCTATTTAAACTTCTTTGATCTTTTAATTCTATCTCTTTATAAATAATGATATTTAAACATGAAAATAATGCGGTACAACACTAATTAAATTTGTAACGCTAAACTATATTAAGTTAAATCATATTTGTTCATTATCACCTATATACTCAATATATTGTTAATTTAATAAAAACAATGAAGTTAAACAATGATATAAGGAACTATTCTCACAGAGATATTTAAAATAACACAAAATTGTCCTGTATGTTTCGCATAAGAATTTAAAGGAGGAGGGAGAGGAAATAAATAAGACAGCAACTTTTACAAATCTGTCATCTATTTTACGATCGATGATGATAGTTAACACGCGCTCTCGCTGGCACTCACACACGCATTCGCACTTTTGTACACTTCACACGCGCGGTTTTATTTACAAGATGAAATCAGGCCGAGGACAGATTTCATAATTTACAAAGTAAACGCGCAAGGCGATCGTCGAGGAGGCCGCTTCTCACGATCGCGAAACGTCATTTGGAGAGAAGAGAAAATCAGTCTGTGGTAGTCTGCCGCCAGCAGGCTACTCTCAGGAACGCTACGATTAGGCGCCGTTATTAGAGTAATAACTCTAACGAGCACGAATTGAGCACGAATTTGACACACCCGCGAATCACGTTATCGTCCGTGTGGCATTCCACTACAGCCCGATAATCCCTTTCATCAGCGGCGTTCCGTTATCTTCACAATCCAAGAATTGTAAAGTAGCGTACGTTGCTTATAATGTGGGAAGACGAACTCTCTCCCTTCTCTTCTAATCAAAACGCCGTGTCTTCGGTCGAATGGCTAAATGACACAAATGCTACAATACTTAGCACAAAAAAGGAAAATTTAACAAATATTTTTGGTATATTTTAAAATCAAATAATATAACCGATATAATTTCCGGATTTAATCAGGATTTATGGGACAATGGATTTTTTTTTAATTCTCCGTTGACAATAGATTTACACTTTAAAGGTACAGTAACGTTGGAGTTCGAAAGCACAGGATATTTTTTTATTATCAATTCTGGATCTTCAGAAATTCTAAAGACGTTCAGAGAATGATCTATGCCTTAAAAATATTCTCAAGACGTCTCTTGGGTAAAGTTTGCTCCGTGAGGTATGTTACAGTATCAAAATCCAAAGTCAATTAGAAAACATTGTTCCTATTTATTGAAATTGCAATTTTAGTAAGTAATATAATAAAAGTCGTGATTAATTAATCCCTAATATAATTTTATCTTACTTTCATTTTTCATTTACCGAGTCAATTTTCGAGACGCATAAAAAGATCAAAATTTAATTCGTACGCGCGCAAGTAAAAAAAATACAATATAACTATATATATATACATTATAATATAAAAATTAATTTATAAAAAATTTTACATTTATGTATCCCGAAAATCAATTCAATTTGCAATTTCAATAAATCTTCCAAGATTTTTTATTAAACTATTAAAAATCGTGAAATATATGCCACTTAACCATTCAAGCAGTCATTACAATATGTACGACTGTATCGAGTATGTATCTGGCACGACAGCTTAAGATATATGTATACAGAAGTCGCTAGTTAACAATTATAATTGGACTGTCTCGATGCCCAGTCGCACATATTTCCGTCTCACCGGCGGCAGATAAATCGTCGTAATTAAAATGGCATTTAACGTAATCTCGCGTGATTGCATTTCGTATTGCATATCGTGTACGATCGCTCGAAACGTGCAAATTTAACATCGATATTCAAAATGCTATTAAAATTAATATTATTTGTAATATTAATAGTTATCGATTATTTAAAATCCATCAAGTTAATTTAAAATCTTAATATTAATATTATAAATAATATTAACTTTACACACACATACGTGATTCTTCTCATTGTGAAGAAAAACTATTAGATTAGTAAAAAAAAAAAAAACTATTAGAAAGAATAGCGTGTTAAAACCGAATGGTTTTTCTAATCATTTTTCTGTGAGTTCAATAATATTTTTCTATAAGGGTTGATTGTACGTGGTTGATATTATTGTCGTAAGAGAACGTTTTGCAATTCGACCGATCGTACCGAGGGGTAAATATTGCGCTCTGCGCGTATTAACTCGAATAACGCGAGCGTAGTCATTTTGATTAGACACATATCATTTAGTATTTACAAAAGGATTCGCGAGATAAAGAGTAGAATACAATAGAAAACAACGTGAATTTTTCCCGTGCACGATGGGAAAAATACGGACGAGTCTTTCTTCGAGGGACGTTCCTCTCTTCTTTATGGCAAGATGGCTCGTTCGACGTGGCACTTCGCTGCAATCCGTAAACGTTGCAACGACTTTTCATGACATTCTTCGCTGGCATTTTTTTTCAAACGTGTCCTCGTGACTCAAAACCACGTTCGATCATTCAAGCCCGCGAGACTGGATGTCGCTATTTATACTATCAATTTACAAACGTTCGACTAAATAAACTAAACAAGCAGCAAAACAATTCGTTAACATTCCTAAGTGGAGCTCGCATATTTCCTCAAGGCGAGTCTTTAAAATTTGCCCGAAATAAATTTCACAATCACTAAACTACTATTGTTCACTAAATTGTCCCGGCATCATATCGAAGGACCCGTTTCAAACGTATTCCTCAGACGGTTTGGGGATATTCGTCGGTAATCTGGGTACTCGACTGGTACTGTCCGGCAGCTCGGCGATGTCGATGAACACGCCGACGAGGCTCTCGAAGTTGGGTCCCCAGTTGAGCAGGTAGTCCCAGCTAAGAGCATCCTCGGCGGCGGTGGCGGTGGTGGTCGTGGTGGTGGTAGTGGTAGTGGGCGAGCCATTAGTGGCATGGGTACCATAAAGGAGGCCGCCCATATGGGTCGATAGATCATCGTCAGAGGCGACGAGGGTGCTAAGGGAACCGCGAAATGAACTGTCGAAGCCGTCGTAGTTGCCAACATTCGGCGGCAGCGGTGGTTTCGTTGATTGCGACGATTCAACATTGCTCCTACCCTGCGGGCTGCTCCTCTCGTCGTCCTGTTTGGCGAACAGATTGTCGGACCGTTTGTCGCCCACCAGTGACCCGTTGTCGTATTCAATCTCCGAACACGTAAAGCTGTCGTTACCACTCTCGTCGGTAGTTGACGAATTTCGTCGCTCGAGCCTCTCCACGGGGGGCGTGTGACGTCGGTGGTGATGGAGAGGCCCGTGCGCAGGTGGGCCCCTGGCCTCGCTGGAGGAGCTCACGGCGTCCAGAGTGGAGACCAGGCTGGACGTTCTCGGACGAGAATTGAGTCGCTCGATCTCTTCCGCTGTGAGACCCATTGGGCCCGATGACACATTATTTACAGAGTTTTCATTGTTGGACTGGGGAGCCTTCCTGCTGGCGGTCGAGCCTGACAGTTGACTCATGATGGGCGAGTTCAGACTTCTTTCACTGTTCGAATTTAACGCGTCCTTGCCGACACCACCGGACGAAGACGTGGTAGCCAGCAGCGCGCTTTGCAGAGGTTTTCCGCTGATGTCGTGCAGCGTGAGAATCCGCGGTTGTTGCGCAGATAACTCGCTGCTGGGAGATAATCTCGCCAGAGGTGTGCTCTGAAGTAATTTTGGCGCTGGTCCAGATGGTTGGTTCACGTTGGGCGGTGGCATAGCACGTGGTGGAAATGGTCCGTTATGACGATGTTGTTGTCCCGTATGTTTATGATGGTTACCGTAATTACCTGTACAAGTAATTTTCATTCAAGTCAATTAAATTATTTTAAATGCATAAATATATACAGCTTTTAATAATATATAATAAAATATATTGTATTATTAGGTAAGATTTCAAACGCGTTAGTCTTGCACCTCGATCGACATCAATTAAAAGAAACAAAACATTTATGTTATAATATTTACACTCAACAATGCAACTGTGTTGTATAATAATAGGTGTTATATTATATAATACAATACATTTATGCTCTTATTCAGAGCAAAATTATAGCATTGATGCTACTTCATCACTTTTAATTACTTTAGTCCAGTAAGTTATTAATCTTTTCTTACCTATGGGAGGCGGAGTGGCTTTATACTTTCTCATGCCGTCACGATAACCTTTGTAGTGATATACAATGTCGATGTCGCTGGGCGCAATGGAACTGGCGTTCTCCAAGTCGTAATGCTCCGGGATGTCGGGTTCCGGATTATGTTCGTGAGGATGAAGAGAGATTTGGGTGGGCGGTGGTAACGGTGGGTGCTCATCACGGATGGGAGGCGACTTGGTGACCTCACGCTCGATGATATCCGGTCGTTGCGGCCGGTGCTCGGCGGTAGAGTTGATCTCGCGTTCTTTGTACTTCTTCGAGATCAACTCAGGACCCATGTGACCGACGCCGCGCAAATCCGACGTGTCGGAGATATATGTATTTTCATGACGAGACATGAGATTGTCATTTCCAGAACCGACCAGAGGATTGCCGGTCATGATGGCGTTGGTATTTTTGTTAACAACCGATGGTGCTGACTTCTCTTTGTTCTGCCGGCGCAGTCGGAACACTATGAAACTCACCAGAATGGCAATTAACAAAATGACGAAGAAGACGATGACCAGAGTAATACCAATACTGAGAGGGTCCGCGGCCGCGGCTGCACCGATACCGATCGGTCCTCTGCATCCAGTGCTCACTTTGCCATGATAAAGCACATTTTTGAAGATAGAACCGGAACCGTTGAATGGTTGCACCTCATTGTTGACGGTAAAGTTAGCCAGACAGCCTTCAAAACTTCTAGAGCCAGCGCTATGAGCGTAATAGAGGTCCTGGCTGACTCCGCCAATCGATAAAACGGACAAGTATGGATCGAGGAAATCATGAATTCCTGCCAAATCTAACTCATCGCCTGTTAGACTACCATCGATCAACAGTCTTAATCCTCGGGCGTAAGCATGGAGAGTTAGATTATGCCAACGTCCGTCGGCGAGACCGCCGTCAATATTAATCGACATGTTTACTGGTGATCCAAGCAGAGACATGTAAACCAACTGGCCGTTGCGAAGCTGAAATACAGTATAATCGTATTAATTAGATTGCAAAATGGAATCCATTAATTTATTTTTTACATTATTATTTATCTTCTCCATTCTTTATTCATTTATCCGTTCGTTATTCATTTATTGATTTGAAAGTCAATAATTGGTACAGAATAAAAATTGATATATCTCAGAATGCATCCAATTTATGATTGGTTTAAAATATGATTAATATTGCTACTAATTTTTGATAATATACTAAAGTTAGAAAAAAATTCTTAAAAATTAATCATTTTTAAATAAATAATTTTAATATCTGTTATGAGACAAAAAATGATTGAAAATATATCTCACCTCTACAGATGTAAAATGCTTATTTGTTGCAGCGTATATCAAAATACCATCGGGCCTCACAGTTTTAAACATTAAGCCAATTGTCTTCAAGGAAGGATTCGTTATAAAGCTCGTGTCCTCAATAAGACCGCGCTTTACGCGATTCGTGTGCCATATCGTTGAACCACCGTAAAGATACTCCAACAGTTGCATCCTTCTGTGTTTCTCCGAAATCTACACAAACAATACCAGTCACCATATAATTCAAAGTTAATTATTATAAAAATAAAATTAATGTTAACAAGGTTGAATTAACATAGTACCTCTAACCAACTTGAACATTTTAATTCTTTTACTAATCTTTTTCACTAATAACTTTTAAAAATCTATTATTTCGTTTATGTAATATTTATATAATATATATCAAACAATTTCATATTAAATAACTTATATCTATAGCATTATAAATATTTTAATAACAATGTGTGGTAGATTTATTATTATTTCATTATTACATTTATTGTGTTTATATTATAATATTAAATAAATGTAATAATTAAAATAAAGTATTATGCTATATAAAATCAATAGGATTTACTTATTTTTACCTTGAACTGAATAAATCCTCCCTCGCTTAATGTGATGGGTTCCAGGGCACCATGGCAATTGGGCGCTCTCAGGGATCCACACTGACACATCACTTGATGCCATTTGTCGTGACATTGAGCATTCACATCACAGACTGATGCAGCATCCTTCTCACCTTTCAGGCAAGGATTTCGCTGTGATCTGACACATGTGGATTTCACACCACGCGATGCGAGCGGATTCGTTAGATTCAAGGTCCTTCCGTTTATTGACACCGAGTGAATGCAACCCACGAAGTCGTCAGAGTGCACTTGGCCTGGACGCTCCAATACAGGATCGGCGTTTTCCAAGCCACCCAGTAGAAGAGGGTTATTGTTGAAATTTAAAGTCCTGAAAACATACCGAATGTTAATGCACATTCTTAAATTTTGATCTGCGGATCAAGCATTTTTGATCAAAATAAATTCTTTTTTTTAATATTGTAATGTTCTTAGTAATTATCTCTATTAAATAACCAAGATAAACAATTTCTATAATATAATTTTGGAATCAAAACTGTTTAATAATGACGTTTAATTTTAATGACAGAATTTTTTAGAATGCTAAAAAATTTAATTTTCAGTTCAATTTTAAGGTCTCATCTGTGAATTTATAATTGATTTTCTTTTGTTAAAAGAATTTTGGGCATTTATTGGAAAAATTAATAGGACACTTACCCAATCTGGCCCACGTCGTCCGCGTAGCATGTACCATCACTTGGTCTGCAATCGTCGCAGACGTCGCCGTATTCCTTGCAAGTGGACACGCTGAGCGAGATAACTCTGCCGTTCCGCGTGGCAGTGACCTTGTGCCACTCGCCATCCGACACCGGCCGTTCTGTCTTGATAGTGACGGTGGTGATCGCACTTCTGGCACCGCCGTACGAGAAGACCACTCGGCCGTTTATCAATTCCAACACGACGAAATCCGAGCGGCCACTCGTCTGCGGTGCGTAATTGTACAGTAACAACGCATCCGGTTTCGTGGTGGCGAACACTATGGTGATGTCATTCGTGTTGGAGTCCAACGCCGGGAATGCCATGTACGACAACTCATTGAAACCGAAGGTCGAGCGCTCGCAATGCCGGCCGTAGCGACCCTCGGGACAGCTACATCGATATCTATGTGGATAATCATTTTATATCTTATTTTACTTTCGTACGAATTCGCGCTCAATCAGCAAAGCACATAAATTGCTGTGTCATTTAAAGTTATATATTTAAAAGATCAACAAACCCAGGCTTTTCTCCCACGCATAAGCCACCGTACAAGCAAGGATTCGGTCGACAGGAATCGGTGACTGCCTCACAGTGATTTCCTCTGTATCCCGCTCTGCAAAGACAGAAGAAACTGAAGCTGTCCGGGCTCTTTCTGCACGATCCGCCGTTTCGACACGGATTACTGGCACACGCATCGCCTCTCTCGAGCTCGCACAGCTTGCCATCGCGATCGATAGGACAAGTGCATACGAAATCGTATCCTACGCGTCGGCACTGCCCTCCCTGTAGAAAAAGAAAAAGAAGCGCTTTAAAGGATTTGTGCTTTATATCGATTTTTAAGAAGCACTGCAAATAACAAATCTAAGGAGCCTATTTTGAAACTTTTAACGACTATAACTGTAGCATTATTAGCGTATTTTATTTGCAGAATATCTTCTTTTTTTTTTCAAGTACTCACCAGCAAACAGGGGTTTGGAGAACATGGATCCTGTCTTCTTTCACATCTATCACCGGTGAAGCCATCCCGACACTTACAGGCCATCTCGTGCAACATTCTGGGCGACGTCAGGATCAGCGCTTGACTGTCGGTGATCCTGGCGTCGTCATATATAGCCAATCGATCACTGCAGCTGCCCCCGTTTTCGCACGGCATGTGTTTGCATGGAGAGTAGTTGATGATGAATGAGTGACCTTCGAGCAGCGTCTGGATCTGATCTTGATTGCGCATCAATAGATCGGTCACTTCGTATCTCGTCCGATATCCTGAAGAAAATGAATAAAATATTGTGTCTAAGTTTATATTCTATAATATATAAAATAAATAATATGTTGTAAATCTGGATAATATTAATAAATATCCCAAGTAAAATGCTGTGTTACTTTAACGTCAAATTTACATAAAATTCAGTGAAATCTTGATCAAATTTCGCTCGTTATACCAAGATGACATCATCTTTATCGCGACAGTTATTTGGAATAATGACACATAAATATATCAACATACAAATATATCAATTTGATATTCAATAATATATATATTTTGACTTACCTTGCGGAGATTCCACTGCCAAGTGAACGTTCAGATCCGGTCCGTTTTCACCGATGCTGAAAATTGTGAGTGTTTCGCCGAGATTAATCTTCTGCTGCAAGAGATCCAAGAGAGCCCGGTAGTATCGACTAAGAAAATCATTAGCGGTCAATTTGAAAATTTGCAGGGTCACGCTGTTCTCGATAGTGGCGTTTGAGAAGATCAAGAAATCAACGGTGACCTTGGAGATCACATCCGGATATCGTCCATCGTTGCCGGAGACGCTCAAAGAATATCCTACTTCTGTCAAACAATATTAGTTAAAAAATATTCTACTTAGAATAAATTAATAATTAGTCATAGATATTGATGATAAAATAAATCTGAACCTCGTCCGAGACGTAAGATTTAACGCTTATTGACAAGCCAACACGTCACAATTTAAAAAATAGAAAGATGTAGATTACTTTTACAAATATCCAATTTAATATTAAAAATTATTTATTTTTAATATTGATGAAAACAGCAACATTTTTAATACTCAAAACAAGTAATTAATTACTTGCAGTATGAAATTCTATAAAGGTAGACAAAATTCGTATATCTCAAGAAATCTGACATTTCGCGATTATGATGTATAACTTACCTGATGTAATTTTATTGGTGTGTAGATCGCAGGCAGTGGGGATAGTGAGCACACGAGAATTCGCGCCTTGAATGATCTTGCACGAGAAAACTCCGGTGATATCCGGATCATTTGGATGCACATCAGCGATCTTTCCCAATGGTGTCTTGCCATTGAACGAGTGCACCATTACGTGCACCGATCTCGGCGTGGATGGACTGTCGTTCTGATCAGTGACGATTACAACAATATTATGGTCGCTCTTCATTCGGGGTATACCCGAGTCCTCCACTTCAATCTACACATACAAAAAATATATTTATTTAAATCCTATTTATATAAATTAAAATAAAAATTTTCTGTAACAAAAGACTGGTACAGTTAAAATTATTTTTATTGCAGTTAAATGTGATACCAACCATGAGATCCAACTGCGACATCGTTTCTCTATCGAGTCTCCTGGTGGTTCTCAGTACACCCGAATGCTTGTCCAGAATCACCATGTCGCTTTGTCTTCCTCCGATCAACCTATAGGTGAATGGCGCACCATTGGGTGGCAGATCAGGATCAATCGCGCTCAAGGTCATAATGCTGGTACCAGCTGGTTCGTTCTCGCTGACGTAACCGATTACTTCCGGAGGGTCAAAGACTGGGCCATTGTCATTTACATCTTGCAACTCGATGTGCACCATTGCGGTACCAGTTTGCGGTGGTGAACCGGTGTCAATCGCGCCGATCGTCAGATCATACGTGGGTACGGTTTCGCGATCCAATTGCTTCGCTGTCTCGACGTCACCGGTCTGTGGATCGACTTTGAAGGCCTGGCCGAGATTACCACTGATGATGGAATAGGAGAACTGATTGTTCTGTGGCTTGATGTCTTTGTCGATAGCGCGAACAGTGAGCACGCGGGTCCCATGGGTGGCGCTCTCCGACACGCTAGCGTCGTAGGTGCTCTGCAAAAACTCTGGCGGATCGTTGCCATCCTGGATGGAAATGATTACCTGCGCTTCGTCGGTGTCATTGCCGCGTATACCACCGCCGTTCTTCGCCATCACTGTCAGCACCACGCGATTCTGCGTCTCGCGATCAAGCTGACGAGACACCCGAACGATACCAGTATCCGAACCAATCGAAAAGCCGCGGTCGTTAGACGAGCCTACGAAGAGATAGTATACGCGGCCATCCTCGCCCGAGTCTTGATCGGTTGCCTGAACCGCGCCAACTGATGTGCCCACCTCAGCGCTCTCCGAGACGTCCATGTGAAATACAGGTTGAATGAAATGAGGATAGTACTCGTTCACGCCGGTGATGTAAACCACCACAGTTGTAAAGCCGACCATCTGCGGGTTTGAGTCAGGATTGGCCGCGACGATGTCGAGACTATACTCATTCGCCTCTTCATAATCAAAGGTAGCATCCGACGTGATCTCACCGGTATCGCCGCGGATACGGAAGTAGCCCTTGCCGGTACCACCTAGGATTTCATATTGCACTATGGCATTCTTGGGCGAGTCATTGTCCCGAGCGACAACCTGGAATTTTGTGAAAAACTGCGATTATATTGTACATCCATCAATTTGTGTGAAAAATATATTGGAAATATATGTAAATGAAAAACATGGATTTAATCCTTTGGGTGTCATACTTTCAGTATAACATACTTGACTTTTTTCCAATGCTCATAACATTTTTATTAATGAAATTATATACATTTGTTTAAACGTTGCATATATTTCTTAATGTATAGCATTTTGTTTAAAATATTTTTTTTATAAAGTGTTCATTTTTATAGAAGTTATAAGTAATCGAATTAAATTGGGTATATCATATCCAAGTATGTCGTTCTCGGTATGGCATCAAAGATCATCTATTGATTGATTTAAGAAACGAAGAAATTTGAAATAGCAAATTTATAACGATTCTTTCGTATTAGTTTTAAGCTGAAAATTGGAATAATTTATCTAACTAGCTAGTCGGCTAAAAATCGAAGATGCCAATAGACATAAACCAGAATCAAAAATTGCATGATGAACAATTACCTTGCAAACGAAACTACCAGGCGGCGAATTTTCTGGCAAAAACGCTTCATATACACTTTGATTGAAAATTGGAGGGTTGTCGTTGATGTCGGTGACATGGATAATTAAGATGGCTACTACTTGCTTCGGCTCGAATCCTAGATCCGTGGCGGTAATGTTCAATTGGTATTCCTGCACCTGATCGTAATCAAAAGGTACGAGTCGAATGACTGTACCGGTGACAGGGTGCACGTTGAAATGATTATTCTCGTTGCCGGACGAAATTCTGTAGCGAATCATGCCGTTGGGCCCACTGTCGTTGTCGTAGGCGTAAACTGTCTGAAGCGTGGCATTGACCCCCTCGTTTTCCGGCACTCTGACCTGATAACTGTCGGCGATAAAGGCGGGCGTATGCTTGTTCTCGCCGGAGATTATAAGGGTCAGAACAATCTCATCCTTCTGCGGTGGTACGCCTTTATCGGTGACGCGTGCTTTTAACGGGAACGTCGCACCAATAGGAATACCGTTAAGACTCTTGCGTACGTAGACCCAACCAGATTGCTCCTCAATGGCGAACAGATCACTGGTTTCGTTCATGTTCTCCAGCGAATAACTGACCTCTGCGTTCACGCCAGAGTCAGCGTCGTCACGAGCGACCAGTTGAATAATGCGCTTGCCTACTTCATAATTCTCCGGCACTGCTGACAGATAGGATCTCTGCTCGAAACGAGGCGCGTTATTATTGGCATCTATCACGCTCACGTGCACCACTGCCTTCGAGGACATTGGTGGTTTGCCATTATCAGTAGCGATCACTGTCAGCGAGTACAGATTCTCCGGCGAGGACGGCCGATGAGTGTGCTTGTAGCGTAGGGTGCGCTTGCTGAAGACATCGCCGGTCGCAGGGTCAACAGTGAAAAGATCGGACGGTTGCAACAGGCTGTAAGATATAACGGAGTTCGGTCCCTGTTTATCACGATCAGTAGCCGCGACCGTGCCAACATGCGCCACTTGTGGCTGAAGCTCGGGGAAAAGGAAATGATAGGTATCTTCGTCGAACTCGGGTGCATTGTCATTCTGGTCCTGAATAGTGATCGTCAAGGCGGTTTCTGCTCGCCATGCATCGTCTCCTACTGCGACCTATGACGAAGTTATAGAAAGTAATATTAAGAAATAAAAGAAAAAAAGAGAGACAGTAGTCAAACACCAACTGATAGTAACGGTAATATAACGTAATGTTATAGTTCCACGACAATATAAACATATAACATCGTTTGAATCTTTGAAATTTTATTCTTTACATTTCTAGCAACAAACAATTTTTCTAAATTTTTGCATTACTTTTCGTCAATTCAAACGTAATTCTTTTGGTTTTATGATGATATGGTATTACATACAAATCACATTGTCAATTACATATGATAGTATGAATTAAAACTAAATATCCTACCTTTAGCAGATACTCATCCTGCTCCTCTCTGTCGAGTTGTCCAGCCACGGTCACATTTCCGCTTAGGGCATCGATGGAAAACTTCATTCCTGGATTTTCGGTGAAGCTGTAACTGACGTTCGCATTCTGACCAATATCCGGATCACTGCTGGTCATGCGTATAACGAATGTGCCAATTTCTGCATTCTCTGTCACGTTGACGCTGAATAGTCGCGTAAAATGTGGCGGGTTATCATTTTTATCCAGAACGGTAATGAGAACTATAGCGGTACCGGTTAATCGGGGATGACCTTGATCTCTGGCTTCGACGATGAGCTCGTAAGACGCAATCTGAAGGAAATTCGACATAAATGTGACTAAATGATACTATTGATTAAACGTGTGAAATATTTTCGGAATCCTTGGATAAGTTCGAGATAATTATAACTGGCTGCAATATCCGCACCTCTTCGCGATTCAATTTCTCATTGGTCTCAATCTGCCCGGTACTGCTGTCGATGATAAAGAACCCGGAGAAGTCGTCGACTAGATGATAAGTGACTTGACCATTTTCACCGGAATCGCGATCCTTCGCTGACACTTTGATGACGAATAATGGCGGATACTCCTCCTCCATCACAGTCGCGTTGTAAATCGCCGCCTCCATAACCGGTGCATTATCGTTGGCGTCCGTGACATTCACTAGAAGTTGGAGAACGCTGCGCAGCGGGGGTGTATCCGAATCATGAACTTCAATCCAGGCTTCGTAGTGCGGAGCCGTCTCATAATCGAAGCCAGAGGCAACCACGACCTAAAGAAGAATTGTAATAATAGAATAATGTGTAATATATTGTAAACTAATGAAAATATCATTTTTGAAATAGTTCTAAATTCCATATAAAAAAAAAAGAAAGAGAGAAAGAACGAAATAAATAAAATTGTAATGTCTGTGTGATTTTATTTACCTCTCCGGTGTGAGGATCGATTCTCAAAGCATCTCCCACATTTCCGCCGGCTATACCATAGATCAAATTACTCGCCGGTCCGCTTTTCGGTGTGGTAGCGCTTAGCTTGGTGATCACTTTGTTCTCGGACACATCCTCAGACAGCGTGAACCTCGTACTGACGCTGGATCGGAAGCTGGGAAACAGCTGCCGCTCCCACAAGTGAATCACTAGATCGGCTGTGACATGCTGAGGCTCGGCACCGCAATCCGATGCCTGTATCTGTAATTGATAGGTGGTCTGGTCGTCGATCAGTTCTTGAGTAGCACGGATCACGCCATTGTTAAGGTCGATGGTGAACCGACTGGCGTCCTTGCCGTGCAGCTGATAAACGATCCGCGAGTTCTCGCCGTCATCATCATCGCTTGCTTTTGCGCCGAAGACAAAATCGCCTTTAAAAAAAAAAGTCGACATTTGGATTTGCGGTTAGGTAATTGGTGAAAAGTGAAACCACTCTATGGTTGGTTCCTTTCTCTCAGTAATCAATAGTAACTATAGTTAATGATTGCGTTTGTCATAAATTTACTCCACTCATAAAAAGTTGAATTTGATGCAACTTGCAAATTTCTTCAACAGTTTTGCTAAAGAAATCAACTAGATTTTTCTTGAATTTTCCTAGTTTAATTAATTAACGCATCCAATTAACACACTTAATATCGTCGCCTACAATCCCATTATACCTGGTTTAGTTGCGTTTGGAACGTAAGCTGTATATCGGGGACTGGAAAAACGGGGCGCGTTATCGTTCACATCCGTCACATAAATCGTCAGATTGACGGCGGAGGCACGCGGTTCCGTCGGGCTTGAGTCTCTGGCCACTAGGGTCAAATAATACACAGCAGTCTGTTCGCGGTCCAACGGTACAGTGGTGAACACTTCGCCCGTGTCAGGATCTGCGGAAAACCGCTCCGCTTTGTCTCCAAGTATATTGTAGCTATTTTGAAAAAGTAATAAAAATTATTTAAACACGATAAAGTATATTATCAACAAAACCAAACATGTTTTACCAATACAGATTATTTTGCTATGATTGTTCCAGATTCTTCAAATAAGTATAAAAATTCCTGTATAGATTCAACTCTGTCGCAAAATTTCGCATAAAAAAAATTAATCTATAAATTTCTTATTTAAAATTTTACTTAATTTAAAATTAAGTAAAGTAAGTAATTATTAGTAAGAGAAGAGAGAGAGAGTAAAATTAAGTAATTATTAACTTAAATTTTAATTAGAACTGTAAAAGTGCGATACAGAGAGAACTATAGAATATATCTGAATAATATTTACATACAATAAAAATATAGCGGTGAATTTTTTGTCTACTGTAAGAAAATTAATAGAATTTTATAAACTCTCTTTCAGATTCAAGATTGCACACATACGTACGTCCTTCCTAAAATGGAAAGCATTTTCAATCATAGTACGCGAGGACATCGGCGAGGAGTGCCTACCTTATTTTCGCATTGAAACCTTCGTCTTTGTCTGTGGCGTGCGGCTTGATGACCAAAGTTCCAGGGGGTGCGTTCTCCACCACGGTGGCCTTGTAGTCCTGCCGGGCGAACTCGGGACTGTGATCGTTCACGTCGAGGACGACGATCCTGACGATGCCCGATCCGGTGAGAGGCGGCGAGCCTGGCGAACACGCGGAAAAATGCGTGAAACTTTTCATAGTCGTGTATGTCGTCGGGCAGCCATAAAGACAACCGTCGTCGCGCCGATCGCGCGTCGTGCCGTCGCTCTAGCTCCAGGTTTTTCTAGTTTTATTAATTTTTGTTTTAGCTTTTATTGCTACCTCGCGAACCGTAACGCCGCGCGAACCGTAGTTGTGGGTCAGTGGCGCGATTATTTCGCTAAATTTACAGCCCGCCTCTCGCGGCTCGTTTATGACGGTTTAAATCGGTCCAAACGGAAGGTAAACCGGGGCCATAATTTTAACAGAATATTATTGTGGTGCCCGCGAAACGCCGTAAAGTGATTTAGAACTTGTCCATGCTCGCCATGGAACAGAGAGGCACATATTTACTTTCAACCGACGATTCGTTGCTCCTACAATCTTTCCTTTGCAAATTTCTGTTACAAAATTAGTTGAAATAAAAATGAAGTGTGCGAATCTCTAGAGGAAAATCGTTTAGAACAAAAACCTATTGATATTATTTATTTTATTGTATTGTTATTTACTTTATATATTTCTAAATGTGAGTTAATAATTTTAAGTATGTAATAATTGCGTTTATTGTAAATTTACTCCTCAGATAAACTAAGAATTAAAAATTAAATTTGATACTTCGGGAAATAAAAGTTGAATTTAATACTTGTAAACTTCGATAGTTTTGCTGCAAAAAGATCCCTTGAATCTCTCGAAAGATTCACTTCCTAAACTTTTCTATTCTTACAGAAACCTATAAATTGGCCGAAACTAAAAGACAGTAACTAATTATTTATTTTAAATATTAAAAATGCTATTATCTAATACTTTTAGTATACTTCAAATAAGTAATTAATTATTATCCTTCAGTAATAAATTAGTATTAGATTTTTATAAGAGGATATAGTTTAGTTAATTTGACATAACCGATAAACTGATCCTAATTGATATTTTCTTGGGAGAAAAATTGCTAAATAAAAATAAACAAACCAGTAAGATTTTGCAAATACACCAATCAGAATTTCGGTCATCATAATTAGACATCTGATGGTTATCTCAACTGGAATTATAATAGATTTAATCGTCAACCAAAAATTTTGCTCAGTACATCGAGATAATTGGGGTTGTGAGGAAAAGCAACTTTTCTAGATCGCGGAAGTGAGGCTAAATAAATGGCCGGTGCATACGGGGGTAATTCAGACGTGACACAGGCGTTCTCCGGCGGTGCCCATTGTGCTACCAACTTATGATTTACAGATTGGGATACTCGGAGTAACGACGTTAGTGCGCGCGGAAAAATCTCGCCGTAGCTTAATTGCGCCGCCTAAAACGCACCATTACTCTCCAGCAGAAAAGGAGGAGAGGGGACCGATTTCTCTGATTGCACATCGGATATATACGCGGCGCATGTATATGTGCATGGCAAGCGTTGGCGTAGCCCAGGGCCACGCGCCTGTACGGACGTACACCGTTCAATCACGCGGAGAGTTCCCGTCGAGGGATAAGAGAAAGGAGGAAAGAGAGGTGGAAGAGGGAGAACGAGAGGAAGAGAGAAAGCGGGAGAAGAAGACGGAGGCTGAGACTGAAACCGTATTTATCATGTTCTAGGTAAATATCCCGTAAGACCGTAAGAGTACAAATTGGATATACAGACTGCGTCAAAAGTCTCGCGTTTTTCTATATAGGTGCAGATTTTTCCTTCATTACTTGCTTGAGAATATAGATATTTATATAATATTTGATAAAAAGATAAAAAAGGGTTAATTGCATATAAAATTCATAATATTAATTAACAAGGAACATGAAAAAGTACCATTCAAGAGATAAATTGCAAGAGCTGACTCGTTACATGTCATAACTTCTCGTAAAAATAAAATGTACATTCCAGAAAGGTGTGAACGAAAAAGTATAATTTAATTTAAGCATAAAAGTCGAATAGTTGCGTCAATAAGCATGAGATTAACGATCCATCCTGGAAAAAAAAATGGTAAAAATTTGACAGAAGAAGATATTTAAATATAATAAAATACGATAGTAATTATAGTCAGTGAAATGGAGAAAATAGAAGAAACGCATGAAGAAAGGAGAAATGCATGAAAAAAATGATAGACGTATAGCGGTATGACAATTGCGGCACACAATGACGTGGCGAACGCGAGTTCCCAGGGATTCAGAGCCAGGAGAGATGGCCCATTTTGCATAACAAGTAATCGCATAATTTGCTTACTGCTTACTAATGACAGTAATGAAGAGGCTCACTTGTTACGCCGATTTCTACCGAACGGGATGTTCAGCTCGGTTGATCAGGAATATCCAATTTTTAGGGAAATCGCTAGCCTTAGGTATCACGAGTATGAATAGGAGAGTAAGAACGACGCACGTGTACGTGGCTTTTCTCACGAGAATCTTACCCTCATCGCGGGAAAGGGTGTTAAGAAATAAATCCGTGTGAAGCACCAGTCGACGATATTCTGACGTGTATATCTTTTTAATTATAAAGAAATAAAACACCCAGACGTACGAATCGTTGAATTAGTGTTTCTCAACAGAAACGAGACATCCTGTTTACGTGCGACAGATGCTGAAAGGGTCACAAGACCCTGCAATCGTCCCGACAATGTGCGTCGCGCAACAGTGTTCTGTGGATATATGAATAAAGCAAAATATAATGTGCGAGTGCGAGCACTATATCCAAAAGGGTTCTCTCCCTCTCTTTCTCTTTTCGAACAAAAAGAAATGATGGCCAAAACGCGCGCGGGGCCTCACGAGCGGCGGAACGAGGAGACAGGGGGAGAGGACATGCCGTGCCGGGCGAGATGGTGAGGTGGTGAAGAACGGAGCGTGCTGAAGAAGGGGAGAAGGGGGAGTCTAAAGCCCGCGGTCGAACGGGAGAACCGAAGGGAGGAAGAACCGTGGAAGAAGAGGAGAAGGAGGAGAAAGGAGAGGAGAGGACAGTGCCAGCGCCGAGGTAGATAGGGAGGAAGGCATTCGAGGCCGATTATCATAATCGCGCGTCATAACTCTGCGGGCTTGTCTACCTCGCCGAGGACCGATTGGGCCATCGAGCCACTGCGACCGGGGGCGGGACGGGAAGAAGGGGTGAAGACCGGGGGAGAGGGAGGACCGGAGGAGGACTACCGGCTTCTAAGAGGAAGCGAGGAGAAAAAAGGAAGGTTTAAGAGGGAGGAACTGCCCACCGCTTAAAGAATCTCATCGAACAACCCACAAATTTATATCCAATTTGTATATTACCGCTCATTACTTAAACCCACCGCGTACATAGTCTATCGTTTCTTGTCTATGTGCTGGGCAACGTTCGCCGTATTGACATTTCGGCGGACCGTCACTTAATGGACGACTGGTGGTACGGTTTGCATAAGGAATTAGCACGAATCGATCGCCAGCATAATTTCACGAATGTTTAAGCCAATCTCATATAGGATGACTGGAAATAACAGCAATCGCCCCAATCGCGAGTCGATTGACAGCCAATCAAAACTCTCTTTCAATATACATATAGCAAAAAGAGATACTCAAGCGTGCATCTCGATACTTTGCGATACAATAATAATGTTATAATTAATACTGTAATAATAGTAATTGAAATGTATAAAAATAAAAAGATTGTCCATCGTTTAAACAATCTTCCTTACCACGCAAAATTACACATTGCAATAATTGTAATTATTTTTGTTTAACAATACTCGGTTGCACCGATGTGTCAGTCTAAACTTAATTAAGTTCTCTGTTCGCACTAATTCGCAATCAGTTTTACACAAACCAGCCACAAAAATGAATCGTAAAAATAATCTCTATCGGAGAATAAGGAGCCGCCCTTTCAATGTCGGCCATTGTATAATAAAAATTGTCCGGAATATACTTATTTTTATCAGTAATATCAAAAATATGGAAAAATGGTCAACACATTAAATACAAATATATGTAAATATGTAATCAGGGAATAAATGTAACTTTTTAACAAATGAGTCTTGCTATGCAATAAACATTTGTTTTCCTACAACCGTATCTTCGTTAATTGTAACTAGTTACGAGTTTTTTTCTTATCTACATGCATGACTAGATCATAACACAAAACGTTCCAGCAATGTTGCAACATTCCTACCATTTATCTGGAATGTTAAAATGTTGCTGCAATATAATTTAAATGCTGCAATCATGTTAGAATACAGCAGCATGTCGTAATGTTGCTGCAATATAACTTGTCGCTGGAACGTAATTAAAATGTTGCAAAGTTGTTACAATATTGCTGAGATATTCTACGTTCAATGAAATATTCGATAGCATGCCGCAAGTAACTTACCGGTATCCATAGCCGATACAGTAAGTGTGTATTCTGGTACCATTTCCCTATCCAACGGACGAAGAAGAGATATATCGCCAGTGCTCGCGTTTATGCGGAATAGATCTGTGTCACCCTCCTTGAGGAAGTATCTCACTTGATCGTTGTACGGTGGAGTGTCCGCGTCATACGCTTTAACCTTTTAGAAGATATACAAAACTTTAATTTCAATTCATCTATCAAAATACATTCGATTTGCGTGTAAAACAGAATGAAACTTCGAGCCATTTTAATTATAATTAATATTTAAATTTTTTAATTATTATTTTGGAATTATCGTAAATAATTTCTTTAATTTGAATAATCGGTTTGATTCGACAAAAGGGCTTAAATATTAAGAATACTTCGAGCGCTTTACTCTTTGCGGTATTAATTACCTGTATCACAAAACCCCCACCCGGCGGCACCATATTCTCCATAACGTGCGCTAGATAGGGCGAATCAAGGAAGATCGGTGCATTGTCGTTGATGTCGAGCACGGTAATAGTAATTTGGGCTGTATCGCTGCGCGGCTCCTTTCCGACTTCCTCCGCGCAATCCTCGCTACGAATCATCAGATGGTACCGGGGTTTCCGTTCATAATTCAAGTTTTTCGCCACCCGAATCACGCCACTGTCCTCTGAGATCGTGAAGTCCCGATTGTCATCCCCCATTGCGATGCTGTAACGCACTCTGCCGTTCGCACCCTCGTCACGATCCATTGCCGATACCTGAGGCCAAACCAATAAAAAATGACGATTTATAATTTAAGCATATTGAGGGAGAGATAGAAAGAAGTAAAAGAACCATTTATTTCTATTCTAGCCCTCTAAGAATATAAAAGTAAGCAAAGGAAAAAAATGCAGTGAAGAATATACGATTTGTTTGACAAAATTAACAGCTTAAATAATGTATGAACAGAGAGAGAGAGAGAGAGAGAGAGAGAGAGAGAGAGAGAGACTTTGATATTAATTGTTCTACTTAACAGACATTTTTAACAATATTATATAACAATAATCGATTCTTTTTTATCGGATTCTGAAATGGACGTTCCGACTAATTTTATAATACACTCTCTTTCTCAGCAAATTAAGAACAATTTAAAGAAATCTTATTTCTTCGTTTACTCTTTTAAAGCATTAAAGTTCATCGCAATATCACTGACTTGAAGCACACTGGCACCGATGCTGGCGTTCTCGGCGATGGTGGCGAAGTACTGCCTGGGATCGAACACCGGTGAGTTGTCGTTTTCATCGAGCACCGTGACAGAAACAGTGGTCGATGATGATCTCGGCTGGTCGCCCCGATCTTTGGCGGTGACCTCCAGGTTGTAGTTGGATCTTTGCTCACGGTCTAACGATCCGGAGACACGCAGCATTCCGTCCGATAGGCCGAGGGTAAACGGTAGATTACTGTCGTCCCTCAATGAATACTCGACGTAACCGTTCCGACCCTCATCCCGATCGGCGGCTCTTATCGTCATCACTATCGTGTTGATCGGTGTGTTCTCCATTATTGTTACCTCCCTGGGCGACGTGAAATTCGGTGACATGTCATTCACGTCCAACAACATCACCGTCACCTGTGTCATTTCAATGAAGAATAATGTGTATTGTTTTAAAGCAGAGAGAAAAGGGGAATAATTGTCAACGCAATTTTCACTGTGCATAGTCTTAACTTAAATACCAGAGCTTTTTATTGAATGTGTGTTATTACATTTAAATATATCAAAAGAATTATGAGAAAACGAAAGTATTCTCTCTTACAATTAGAGCACTAGAAACTTTATAATAGAGTACGAAAAAGAAAAGTATATACACTTTCTCCTTGTGTATACATATTATCTCACTCTAACTTATAGGTAGTGTCTCTCACTTTTTAAATTTAATTAAAGTTATAAAATAAGGCAGTACACACATGAGATGTACACAGGAAAGAAGTATACACTTTTCTCTTTTATAAATTTTAACAAAATCTGTCGTGACCAGACTGTAAATCTCTAAAGCCCGATTGCATGAACGTTACTTTAATTTTAAGCGAAGCTCAAAACTCTCTCTTTCTCTCTTGTTTCAAGGAGAGACAAAAAAGGAAAGTTTTAAGCCTCGCTTATTAAAGTTAAAGTAACTCATTGGCGGTCACGACCTGAATTAATAAACAGTCGTGCAGCACAGAACGTATTAAAAAACTGAAAAATTCTTTTAAAACTTTTCCATTTATATAAAAACATCGTAGAAAAGTTCTTCAGATATTTTAGGATTCGTCAAACCTGCACTGTAGAGGACAACGGCCGCGCCGGTGGTAGTGGACTATCAGTAGCACTCAGCACCAGGTTGTAGATTGGCGTCCGCTCGCGATCGAGGGCTCGGCGTGTAAAGAGAGTACCGTTGTGAGCCATCCCAAAGTCACCGTCCTCGTCGCCGCCGGCGACGGCATAGACGACCCTACTATTGTCGCCAGAATCTAGATCCTGGGCTGTCACGGTGAGCACGGGCGTGCCGATGGTCGCGTTCTCCATAATGTCGGCCGCGTGCGGTCCAGCTTCAAAGATCGGTGCGTTGTCATTTAAATCGACCACGTTACAGTACACTGTCACGGTGGATGATAACACGGGCTCACCACCATCCATAGCCTCCACGACGAGGATGTAGTGCTGTACCTGTATATAATGCAAAGTAAAGTAGCTAAACGCGAGTCCAGATTTAATTATGTATAAAGAACATAACATTGCATCCCTCTCTGAGAAAAGCGTGACACAAATAAAAGTATAAAATTTCAGGAAAAAGGAAATATTTACCAATTAATTATTTACAACGGCATTTAACATAAATTAATCGTAAATTGCAAATTCCAAATTTACAAATAACGTAAATATTAATTTTATTATGGCGTTTTGTTATGAATCCCTAGAAACTGCCCTTATTTTAATTGATTCGGTGTATTATACACTTCAGGTTAACTATAAAGGAATTTATATTTTATTACTATTTATTTTATAGATTTAATAATAATAGTAACATTTAATACATATAAATTAGCGAGTTAAATTTATCTTTTATTAATAATTACACAGATACTAACTCGATTTAGTCGGTTTTTAAAAACGCTTCGAAAGAAAATTCTCTTTTTGCACAGAACAGTGAACAGTGTTCAGTACAAAGAAATTACAAAAGACAATGAACTATCATCTTTGTAACTTTCTCTGTAATAGATCCTTAAGAACCGTATTTAACCGTTTTGCAAAGACTATAATGTTTATTCGGCACCGTGCTATTTCTTTGTTTCCAATGCATTACGCATACACACGCGCGTGTATGCACGTATTTCATGGCTCCGTAATGATGTTGGCGTGTATCTAAAAGGGCATTACGTTGATGAAGGGTTCTATAAGCTACCCTTATCCCGTACCTCTCGCTTACGCTTTTCTTCTTTCGTTTTCTTCTCGATAGGAACTGCATCAACACGCATCCGCTCTATCATAAAGCGCAAAACAGTGGCGTAGCCAATGGCTGGCACAAAAATGAGCATCAATCATATTACTGCATTGATATTAATGTCGCCATTGACGATCAACGTAAAAACATCAACATATAATTTACAAAAAATAAAACTAAATGAAGATTTAAGAGAACAGAACGTGCACTTCACGTATATATATATGAACACAGAAAGAACAGTGTTGAAATATCTAAAAATTTAGTTAGATGTATCTAGTTCTGAAAATAATTTTATTTAAAATAACAACATGGGACGCTAAAACTGTTCGCTAGAATTTTAACCCACATTATCATTTCTGTTCTCTTCATTTAGTTTTATGTTCTTTAAAAGAATAATATATGATTGATAATACTTATTTCTGTGTCAACCGTTGGTACATGTATAGATATATTCATTTTGAAACAAATGTGAAAACATATATATCTGACGAAGAAAAAGATTGCAAATATTTCTGCACAAGCAAAGAGCTGTTGTTTTTCTTTGATTAGGAAATAATTGCTTGATAACTATAATTTTTGTATCTGAGCGTTTTTATTTGAAAAAATAGATACTTTTCTTTTAACCGGAAAAGAATAATAATACAATATTCTCTTGCGTATTCAACTATTCTCCCTGGATATATTCTATTTGAGTTTGCATTGCAAGTTTCCCCATTTCGCAAAGTTTTAAAATTTCGTTTACGCTACTGGCTACGGTCTACGAAGTGTGTTCTCCCGAAAGTATGGCTAAGTATGGCTTGTCTCCGAAATGTAGCATAGAACGGACCGTCCATTAAAGACTGTCTGTTCATCGATCTGTCCGACTGTTATAGCGTTAAACCCTAAATTCTAGCGTTGCCCATCGCTCCGGGTAATATAATAGGTGAGCTCAGATCCTTGAATGTAGAGGCGTGTTCATGGTTATAATCGCTGCCCGCGGCATTCGACGTGTTTTAATGTTGCACGCGTGCGTATTTCAGTTCTAAGAGACTGATCGGAACGGAACTTCATCTCGACAGGTCGCCGTTAACCCCATCGTATCCAACGACTGTTATGATGGACATATCTATAGCGATACGTAAACATATGGCATCAGAATCATCCACCATTATCGTTCCAGTTCATGAGCATGCTCTGCTGGGTTATGACTGCGATCATTTAATAGCGTCTTTTTACGTGGAATAATAAATAGAGAACGGACAAGTCATGGTTATGTATATGTAGAAAGAGAATCGCTGAGAAATCAAAGAAGAAGTCCAAGTCTCTTGATGCCGAAAGACTGACTTCATTTGCGTTAATATTTCGCTCGTGGTCTGCCAAAACCGTCGAAGAATTCCATGTGAATTTATAATATAAGCTCTTCATAATTGCGGAGAGAGAGACTGAAGCAAAATTCAAATATTTGGTATATCCGTGATGCCGAGACGAAAGTTTGAACGTCAAATATATCGTAAAATTTCTTACAAACTATTTATATAATCATGAGAAAAAAATGTGCCTCATGAAAAATTCAAATTTTTCCGTTAATAAATAAGGACCAATCCAGAAGAGTTGAAATTTCGAAGTAATCGTCACATCTGACTTTAATTTATTGACGATATAACTTCATTTGCGTTACTATTTCGCTCATGGTCCGCTAAAGCTAACCCGTCGAAAAGTTCCATGTGGATTCATGAACTATTCATAATCGAGGTGAGATTCATACAAAATTCAAATTTTTCTGTCAGTATAAATAAGAACTTCGATACACTCCCAATAGACTAAGGTCAATGTGACGCTACAAATTCGAAGCATTCTTGAGTGGTCAATTAGTAAAATTCCTTCTTTTGATTACTTCTGATTGGTCGATCAAATGTTTCAAAGTGTTTGTAGGGTGAGATATTGACCGCACCCAGCATCAGAACAGCGACGATCATCGCCATTGATGACTTCATACGATGAAGTTCTTTATTATTGAACGTGACACGTGTGGACTCCTATTCCAGTACCAACCTGCTCATAGTCGAGGCTCGCGGTGAGCGTGAACACGCCGGTGCTTGGATTCAATGAGAAAACGTCGTTTGCCCAGTCGGAGATGAGCACGTAGCTCAAATGGCTGTTGGGCCCCTCGGCGTCGGCGTCCGTCGCGACGACCTGACCGACGCGGCTGCCTCTTGGCACGTTCTCCGGAACGTCGAACGAGTAGGCCGTGCTCTGGAAGGTCGGCGCGTTGTCGTTGGTGTCGGTGACCTGAGAACAGCAGTTTGTCAGATTCTCTATTAGCACAGTATAATGTAAGGCACGGCGTGTTACGATTACGTTTGCACAGAGAGAACTGCTTTACTGAAGTATATTTGCTAAAGTACATTTTAGCTGGATAAACGGGAAGACCATCGATTGCTTATCACGTTTGAATTATATAATTACATTGATGATTTGACAAAATTATTTTTAGACCTGTATTTCGTTAAATTTTCAGATATTTCAACACAATCGTCTCCTTTTCATCGCAGCATCTTTATACTGCCACGTAAATAAATTTATGTATAATCTATAATTTTCTTTAAATTCTCTGTAATATAAATATTTTTTTTATATAAAATACTGTATAATAAAAAGTTTTATCCTCTTTAAATGTTTGCATATATAAGATTTAAATAATTTTTCTTTATTTTGTAATATTAGATGGTATTCTATTTTCTTGCACGCGTTCGACGAAAACCCTTTATCTAATATTTAAACACCATTCTAAGGGTTAGGTGCTCACTTCCCTTCCGAGAATTTCTCCGCGAGAGCTTTTTTTCTTCAAAGCCGTTTCAAAGGACGCCATAGTGAGTTGCTTTCATTACGCACGTTCCCCCTCGCGTTTAATAAAAGCAGCAGAAAAGATTTTACAGCGCGCACCTCTCGTGTCCCGCGCGCCTTCTTAATAGACCCGGAAGCCAGGTACGCGCGATCTTAAAATAAACACTCGGAGAATAAAATCGGCTCAAATGGCGCGCACTCGACGTCATTCTTGGATAAACACCGTCGCCACCGGAAATATTCACGCCGCGCTGCGCTCACTTCATTCGCCTTCGAATTATTGTGCTACCTCGCTCCCTTGTACAGTAGTCCCGGCGCGAGAAAACATTCTCAGGACCCGCAGGCTATTTATCCATGTAACAATGGCGCTCATTGTGATCGATCGTCGTAGCAGCGCGGTGAAACGCGCGACGGAAAAAGATGGCCCTCGCTCGATTGAGGGCGAGAATAAATAGCGCTGATAAACACCATTTTCATCACGTGTAACGCTCTTTTTAATGTTTTTTTCACCACTTTTTTACGATTCTACTATTTTTTGTTGAAAAAAATGCTCGAAAAAAACACACGCATACAACACACACGCATAAATTTCTCTGCAGTAATTCTGCAATCATTAGTTCGACAATCGATTAATCTTTCTTAACATGTAACGTCACATAAATGTTTCCCGAAGCTACTATTTATATTGAATGATAATTAAGACATTTAAAATATGTAAATAAATATAGAAAAAATATTATAGAATGCAATGTATTTGATAGAAAAAATCAAGAGAGGTAATTTTACAAATGATTTAATATAATCGGTTGTTTCGTTATTTCACGTGATTTCTACGCGACACTATGATGCCATCAGTTACTTTTTTTATAGCTTGAAAACACTGCACGAAACCAAAAACGAACGGGTAGAATTTACATTTTTTCCGTGAATTTACATTTTTCGCGCATTTGTCAAACTAAAAGAAGTAGCGACTCCACTCCGCCTCTCTCTTTTTCTTTCCATTCTACTCTTGTTTGCCGAAAACGTGAACGTGCAATAACTTAAACAACAAATAGTACATTAATCTCGTGTACACATCTAAATTATCAGTCAGATATGTAAATTACATTACGTGGCGGTTGTGTTCGCGGCTACTAACGAGCGCTGACTCTAATATGATTTAATTTATCTCTTAGTAAACCGAATCTAAGTTAAACGATGAGATTTTCGCGTGTTATCTCTTGCTGTCATGCTAAAAGATCTGCAGAATATATATAATTCCACGGCGATATTAGTGAAATATGATTTTAATTGTATTAATTATTCTGTTTTAATTGACTTCTGTTTTAAGCGACACTCTCTGTCGCTGTAGAGACTCGTAATAAAAAGAGAACATATTATTAAAAGTTTACATTTTAAGTTTATATTTGAAAACAATCGAATCCACCAATGAGTTACGATTAAAAATATGAATTAATGTTGTATTTTATTTTACATTACAAATATTATACACCATGTCTTTATATCATTAGAAGCGTATAAAAAAATTAACTAATAATTGTCTAAAAACTAGAAAGATTTATTATCTAATCAATTATTTATAAAATTAAAAAATTTAAAATCAAATTACATTTAACAAGTAAAAAAACGATACAAGTAACCTTTTCTGTTGTATAATAATTAACGCGATTTGCAATAGTTGTTTAAATTAAACTTTCTATTTTAGTGTGTATAAAGATCAACTACATTTAAATCGTTATTAACATCTCGCGTATAGAAAATTAATGTGATTACAAGATAATATACCAGATTAATACATCTTCCTAGACGTAAAGCTTGAGCGTGCTCAAAACATTTCCAAGTTTTCCGCGGGGACGCGCAGTGCGATAGAATGAAGTGGTGCACGGTTTGATTAAGGAGGGCTCGGAGACGTTTGCAAAAAGTGACGGTGTCCCGAGACGACAGTGGATGACGAGGAGCCAGCGAGAAGGAGGGAGAAGACGAAGAAAAAGGGACGGGTTGCGAGAGAGGTTGGGCAAGAGACGCTTTGAGTCGCGGTGAAGGACCGAGGGATGACAGGGGGTACCTGACGGGGCCCAGATTCCGCGAGCGAAGCATGTATATAGATCGTGAGCGACAACACACGCTCTTGCCAATGTTGTTTAAATATGTGTGTATATATGTGTGGGTGTAATTATATTCATATACAATTATACACACACACACACACACACACACAATTATGGATTACACATTTATAACGCACAGAGAAACAGCAATCGGTCTCGTTTCTCTCGGATGATAAACGTCATCCTACAATCTTGGGCCGATATTCTTAGTCGAGTCTTATATTCAAGACAGTTTTAACATGTCATGAACCAATTAAAGAGCTATATTAGCATTTTAAAATATTATTTCAGACGGTCTTAAAATAATAACGGATCACTGGCCTTAATCTAATTATACGATAATATTTGAATGTGGGAAAAGAAAATAATAAACTTTGCACATTTAGTCGCGAATATCGATCAACTTCGCAAAGTCTTATTAAATAAATGGTCCAATAAATAATGATACGATAAACAAATGCATTTCTTAACAAATATTAAAAACTTAAAAAAGTCATTTTCTATTTAATTGGTTTATAAATTAAGAATAAACTAGAACTTCTTAAATCTCAGTCGATAGAATTTTATTTATAACTAAATATGATACATAATTGTATATTATATTAGTCACCTTGGTGTTTAGTTCACAAATATGACAAAGTGACAGGTAGAAAGCATAAGAGGACATTTCAGAAACTTATAGTCTCTTCAAACTCCGCTTTTACATAAATTATTTCTATAAATAATTGTACTTCCTAAATAAGGAAATATTCCAATTTAATATGTGCATGTTATTCCGACAACGCCATTTTATTCTATCATATTCTAATTTATCCGCGATTTCAAGCGAGAACGATTTAACGAGAAGAGGAAAACAGGAGGAAGAATAGAAGAGAGTGAAGTAGAAAAAAAAAGGGAGAGGTTGTCTAAGGGATCGACCAGGAAGGTCGATCGAGGAAGACATGGTTAAAGTTAGCGAGTGGAGAACGCAAGATAGGAACAGAGCTAAGGAAGAAGATAGGGAACAAGATAGGACATGGGGAACCAGATAGAAGAGGCCAAAAGGGGCAAATTCCGCAACGGTTAACCAATACAGAGCAGTCCGCTTTCATGGAGCCCCGAAACTGTCGAGATATATGACCGGATCTAACATTCGTCTTCTATTTCGTTTTTTCTCCCTTCTCTATCTTTGGAACAGTCAACGCGAACACGCGGCGGCTAAAGCGAAGCCTTTAAAAAGAATTTCAGCCATTACACATCATAAGGATAATTCTTGCGATTGTCTCCGATGAGGTCCCGGCGCGGCCGGCCGGGTGCCGGTGGTCGGGGTTCCTCTTTAGGCTTCGTTAGACGACCGGCCCCAGAACCAACTCTCGTTTTTTATCGCCACGAAACGTTTCGACCGAGCCGAGTAATGAATTATAAGGCGGGACGCGCGATACACTCCGCGCGTCACCAAGCACACCTCGCAATAGCACGCGCCTAGGGATCGTTATAAAGGAGTGCTGAATGACTATTGTAGATACTTTTCGACTGATTTAGGTGCTGCTGATGCTCGAGGTAAGAGATAATCTTATTAAATAAAATATAATTTTAGAATACACACATATTTTTGTCTAGACCGTACTCTGCAGAATCTTTGGAGTGAAATCTATAATTGTAAAGAGTGACAAAGAATGACGATTGAACCAGTGTTGAAAAAGAATGTCTCGATTGTCAATTTTTAAGAGTGACATTCTATTTATTTTATTCTTTAGAATTAAATTCCATTTCAGAGATTTTAGAGAGTATTAGATTGATTTTTACCAACCTATAGAGAACATTTAAAGATGTAGTCTCATTGGCTTGAAATTCTGATTGAAATCTCGAGATTTTTACGATAGTCAACACTATTCATCATACCTCTCTTTCTCTCTCTATATCTGTCTATATTTATCTCGCGCCGATATTCTGACACAACCAATTCATACACGGGTCAATTTTTCTTGCGGCATTTCACAATCACGTAGAAACGAATTCGATCTTTCTCACTGAGAGAGGAACGGGTGTGCCATTGTTGCATGCACGTGCAGAGCGAGTGTGTGAGCAATCCGCGTGGCGGGTCGCCAGGCAATCGTAGATTTATCTTCCGAGTGATGCCTGCGCGGGTACGCAATAGCGCAACATTGTTCTGCTCGAGATCGCTCGTTACGATAGACAGCGCTGACTTATGCGTACGGCATTATAACCGTACACCCCGACTTTTCTCGCCCCGCCGGCGTTTTCGCCTGATTACCGGCCATTAATTGAAAAATATCAGATCCGTCCGCGACCCTTTACCCACGCCCTACGAAACGGCCTAGCATGTAGCGCGAAGCTTGCACGGTTAATTTTCAATTTACAAGTACAAATCTTGTTCATCGGTTTAAAGCGGCATCGCTAGATTTTTCTCTCATCGCGAAAAAAAAAAAACCAACTTATTTTTGTAGTCTATTCTGAAAAAGAAGTTCCTTCTCGTAAACAAGTATATTTATTCTCGAATTAAATTCAGGAATTTTCCGTGAGAATATCTGTTTAGGTTAAATATCTAATTGTAAAGCAAAAGAAAATATATATCTACACTATTAGATAGAACAAATTTCTTTTCCTATAGACTGGGTAAATTTTACCCTACACCGTGTCGTGTTGTCTGGCTCGATTCCGTTAGAGATTGATTGCCTTTAAATTGACCGGTAATTGGTCTCGCAGTAATAACGATATCCCGTATAAGTACACTCATAAATTAATTCATCGCTGTAGTTACTTAGCTTCCCTCTCCCTCTCTCTCTCTCTCTCTTCCTCTCGATTCTTCATCCTGCAGGACGATTCGTTATTCGCGCAACGATCCTTCGAGCAAGGAGAAATTAGCCAACGTCACCGAGTTCGTTTGTCTGTACGACGACCAAATTCCATCACGAGCACCGGCTTATTATTTAACTACGAAGAGAGAATCGTTGATATGAAGCAATAGGTTACAGTTATAGTAGGAAGTTGTCGACGACCTTTCGGCACGGGGACGTGTCTAATGCATTATCGACTTGACCCCTCGCTCGCACTGAGCATTCCAATACTCGGGAACAATCGTCTGCTCTTCGTACTGGTGAATAACAGTTCGCCTCTCCTCTTCTACCAATGGCCACAAATGTCATTTTCGATATTTTAAGACGCTTTTAGTAAGAATGGCTGCTTTGCACTCTCATGAGGCTTCAGTTGGTTTAATTATTTATTCTGCTTTAGCGAAAAAAATCGACGCGACTGATCTACATCGCAAGAATGAAATTTTACCAAAGATAGATTATGATTATAAAAGCAGCACATATACGTGAGAAAATGATCAACGTGAAGATCGTAAAATATAAGATATCATCAATACTGTCGCTCGTATATGGACGGAGAAAAAATCTGACGCAGTATATTAAAATTAAGATGTCTAATAAATATTTCATCAACTATAATATAGACAGTAAAGATTCCTATTAAGAATATTCGTATAGCAAGATTTTCCTAATTTATCATAATAAAATTTGATAATATTAAACACTTCTGATAACATGCAATCAATCATAATAGCCATCCTGTTCTTTATACTTTTTATCTTACATGAAGAAAATATTGTAATAAAAATACGCTTTTGTTATTTCAAAATACTACCGCAACAAAATTTAATATTTTTATTAGACAATATATATTCATATTTTACAAAAAAATTGTAAATTTATTTAAATATTATAATAAAATATATAATATTAAAACAATTGTTTTAGAATTTAAATGATATCTTACGTATACAATCTAAGCAATTAATTATTTTTAAACAAATTACTGGTACTACTATGACTTTAACTTTTAAAAATAACAAAAACCAAATTATTAAGTTCCAATAAAGCTACAAAAACGTTATAGATACAATATATAACTTAGTATTTACATAATATTTTTGTTATAAAAGAAATACGTTTGATTGTCTATCAATTTCTTTATTATAATTAAAATATAATTGATGGTCCATCTTTCACATGATTGTAGTCCAACTTTACAACGTAATGTTGTAAAGAGAAATATATATTTTTTTACGTAATTTATTTTCTCCGTGTAGAAAATGTATCTCTTAACACGCCACGTCGCTCAAGTCTCGCACTCTCACCTGTATATGAAGCACGATGTCCCGGTGTTGCAGACCATCGTCGGCGCGCACCTTGAGCACGTATCTCTCCTTCGTCTCCCTGTCGAGAGACTCGGCGAGGCTCAGCTGGCCGGTGGTCGGATGCAGTTTAAATTGGCCCTGCGTCTCATCGTTGTCCGCGGACTCGCCGCGATCGCCAGGATGATTCGGCACCAGGGTGTAAGTCAGAGTACCGATGGTATCCGGATCGTCGGCCTTGAGAACCGTGATGACGGTATTGGGCGGCGCCTCTTCGGAGATATTAAATTTCCACGGGCCTGAGCTCCACGTTGGTGCCACGTCGTTCTTGTCCAGCACCGTCACGCGTACCTGCCGCAGGAAAAAGGTATGACGATTAGAAGTGGCTCGCTGGCGGGGTCATCGGTCATTCCGGTCAGATCGGATCCAATCGGATTGAGTCGTCAATGACTCGACGGTACCGACGGTATTGTCAGATGGAGAGGAATGTTCGGGAAACGTTACCATGGGAAAGTCTCGTGGTTTCAATCAAAACGATCTGGGTCGCAAGATCGATTATCTCGATCACCGTAAAAATTCCCGGTTATATAATTAAAACTTTTGGTGCGATACTATTACGGTAAAAAAAAATGAAAAAGTAAAATTAATTTCACCTCGTAATTCCTATTATAGACATTGAAACAGATATAGAGATACCATAGATTTATTTTAGTTACGTTATAAGTAATACACAAAATAAGAAGTTTAAATTAATACGTATTGATTATTGCACATATTATAAATTATGGCGCATTTATATAATTGTTTCGTTGTCACTACAAAAAATATAATAATTTATTATTTATGTATTATAACACTATTTTCCTAATACTTGAAATTCTTCTCATTCCAACAACAAATGTCATTGCTTATCATTCTAATAATAAGTATTATTTGTTCATTATTTTTTGGATCGAGAGCACGTAATAATATGTGACGAAAAAGGAATTCACAGCTGAGTGTCTGATACATTTTCAAGGCAAGATTTATGTAACAACTACATATATACAGATCGAGCACAAGAGAAAAGTAAGAACTTAATTTTGAAATACGTCGAGAGCCATATATTCGATACATGAATTTGCGACGATTTGGCTAACGCCAGAGACGTAATTATGTGTAAAGCCGAAGGGAACATACGAAGGCCGTTGCGGAGTCGAAGTCACGGTATGCATGCGAAGACTCGTGAGAAAGTTAGTTTTTCGATCCCGCTCGTGCATGTCTCATTTCATTAAATTCTCAGTCACGTCAGCAGCTCCAAGGTTTATATGCGACTACCAGCAGCCAGTATATCGAAAACGGCGAGAAGGAAACGGTAAACTATTGGAAAAGCATAATACGGGAATAACAGTACCGAAGTGATAAATCAATTGCTCTGTGTATTTAATCGCGCTAAACTATCCTATATGTACGAATATCGTGTCTATTCTTCCTAATGTATCATTCGCGTTCGTACAGAGACGAAATTAAATATAGTGAAGAGACACTTATAATTTTCGATATGGAAAAAAATATATATATGTATGTAAATAAAACGCGATTTAATACACATATATGAATATACTCGACGGCTACAAAATGTAATTAAAATAAAAATTTTATGCATATCTTGTAAACATAAGTCACACGTATAACATAACTTTGTTTATATACTCTTACATAAATATAATTATATATTTTTGTAAATATAATTAATAGTTATATATGTGTTCAAACTTATATATTTATATGATAAAATTCTTATTAAAAATATTATGTACACGCGTGCCTCGAAAGAACCGCTTCACATACAATAGCTACATCAGCAACGAATCCACCGCTGCTCATCGTATAAATTCATAAATTGGGATATCAATGATGCAGACAGTTTAAACGCCTACAGAGGGTCCCTAATCCCGATATTTACGTAATTGATGAAACGCGTCTCGATATACCTATCAGCGTACCATTGGCGGAATCGATGGACTCGATTAAAATACTTTCTCGCGTGAGTCATCTCTTTCACGGAAGAGAGGTGCAAATTGTTTTTCTTTTACGGCCACTCGACGTAGAGGGTAACCTCGGCGCCGTGGTAATCCTTGTGTACACATAATCCGGACCGACGAATACGCGGACATTTCTCAGGTAGGAAGCTTAAGCTTTTATATAACGGGCGATCCGCGAAGGCGCGCATCTGTCTTCCCAGTAATTAGTCGAACCCTCCCCTGTCATTGATGAAGTGGTTACCATCGATTATATTGCTCTCGGATATCTAGGCGCGCCTACATGGTCGTCGCCGATGAAACAACGTTTCGGAATGACGAAACAAAAGTCGAGAGACCCTCGGAGTCGGGCTCGAGCCGAGTAGCGGATTAAGCGAAAATAAATAGTCGCGTTCCCCTGGTGCCTACCGCCGCCGCCGCCGCCATAAATCGCCGTGTAACCCAGATGCACCGAGCTCGGATGAATGTATAACTTACGCAACTTATATGCACGCGAGGCTCGACGCGTGTCGCGCTCGTAGGCGATCCTAGTCGGCGATCGATATCATTCGCATGTTATTAGAGTTACGCCATCCTACAGCTTTCAATTGAATGTAAGAGAAACAGACTTTATAATGTGAAAGATGAATTATGTATTGTTTATAGTCAATGAAATAAAAAAGCAAAACTCAGGAACCTCACGGCGACGGTTCTGCCCTTTTTCTATTGAATACTTATAATAATGAACAAAGAGTTTCTTTCCGCAAAAATTTTTATATCTTTATACCAAATATGTTGGCGGATTAATGGTCGAATAACACGAATAGTTTATTCACCGGATATCACGCTTCCGGATTCTACCTTTTTTTTTTCTAGGATAAATATACGTATATCTTCCTCGACAAATCCGATGTTAAATCGATGATTATTATGGGTCGACATTACTGCCAAAAATCGACGCGATAAGAGATATCGATAACAAGGTGGGTCCCGGGCCTCGTTCGCCTAATGTATTCACTTGTACACGCAGAGCGAGGTATACCGACGCTGTTCGACGAGGTAAATTTATGCAAAGTCTGTCGGAGCGGGTCGACCACGTCGTCGTCGGTAATTATAGGTGGACCCTGCTATATCGTCATTAATAGTGGCTATCGACAGTCCCGTGTTAAATGGCCGCGACGTATCTTAACTTCCCGACATAGTTCACACGATCCGTAAGATTGGCCTTATCTCGTAATGGTGCGATAACGGCACTGATTGTTGCGTGAACGGTCTACCACCCATGCATGATGCTCGCGTTAAGCGAACCGAGCCACTTATCTCAGGCAGGCGAAAATACCTGTGTCCCGTGAATAACGCGCCTTTTTACGGGCTTTGTGATTTCCCTCGATTAATTATATTCCTCGTTTCTTAATTTTATAACTGGTTTTTAAAAGTCATTAAGAAGAAAATCGATCGTTCAGCCGGAGATATCAATCACCTCGAGCGAAAGTTTCGTATCGTTCAGTGAATAAAATTACTGATTTTATCTTGCACTTTTTATTCGAATCACATTTCGAATCATATTTATCATGTTATAAAATTATATACAATTTATATTAAATATATATGTATTTATAGTAATTTAAAACAAAAAATATTTATTTATTACAGATTATACAATAAGTAATAAATAAATTCGTTATGTTTTTTACTCGCATATTATTATTTGTTAAGCAAACAGACATTTTGTTATATTGTATATAAATTATTCAATAAACATGTAAGATTCTAAAAGAGGCAATAATTCATTTAAATTTACTACTCTAATTTGTCAGAGTGAGATTAATTTTTTTATTGCTGTAACTTTTGCAAACCCGGCATTTCAGACCGATTGCATCAACGCCAACCACATGACAGTAATCCTGATTAACTCATCTTCTCTGTCTCTTATAAGCACAAATTCAAGAAAGATTATAATTCTAGCATTCTCGCTAATTTTGAGTTAATTAATGCAGAACGTCGGGATGTGTAACGCAAATTTGAGACTAATTACGTCAACGCTGCTCATTTTTCTCGTCTTGTCTTTCTCTCTCTCACTTTGACACCATTAATCTTTTAAATGTCTCGATGACAAGTTTTGTCTATTATCTACAATATAAACCGTCAAATTCGCAAAAAGGATCACGTATTTAAAAGACAATTTTTTTGTCTTAGCACACAAAAATTTCGACGTAACACGTAGTTATTTCTTGAGTTTACGAAACTCAGGTTTATAGGATAATATAGTCTACGCGCAGTCTATCGAGGACGATGTTTTCTGCGTCGGCACGCGGCGTTGAAATCACCGTGTGCAGTATATCGAAAACAGCACCGAGCGAAACTTCCTCGATCTCTCGAGACTTCGGCTTCAGCCGCAATCAATTCGCACGTTATGCGATCTCTCTTCCTCTCTCTCTCCTTCTTTCGTTGTTGTCACCATAAGAGCGGCCGCGACACTTGGTGTCATCGTCGCGAGCGAGCGGAAACAACGAGCAACGAGCGAGGCAACGGCAACAATAAGCAGACAAATCAGTGCGGTCATATAGCTGTCTCTCGGCTACAATCCCACCCCCTTTCTCCATTCTCTTCTCTATATATACATACTCTATCTCTCTCACTTACTCTCTTCCTCTTCCGCTCCTTGTCTCTCGTTTCTCGCTCTATACTCCTTCGATGCGGCGCAAGAGCGCGGTATATGGGCGGTAAGAAACGCCCGGAGAAGAGCATTCGGAGTGCAAGGAAAGATGGTATCTGCGTCAGCGCGGTCGGGGATCAGCGGATCGGATCGAGTCGCTCAGCGGGGGTTTCTTTGGGTCATGCACGAAGTGAGTCCCATTCTTCTGGGGCCCGCTCCTCTGCCCCGCCTCGCGCCGCCGCGCCGCTCCTGGGTCCGCCAGCTTGGCCCGAGGCCCCGCACGCCCCTCTACGTTCCACCTCCCCTTGTCCCGCTACGTGGTCGAAGCATGCATCGTACAGGCCGATACTCCTTGGCTCGAGAGCGCTCGGTCCCCGTCCCTTTTACCGAACGAGGTCTTATGGATTCTCTATGAGGGGTCGAACCACTGACATCGACCGATTAATAACGTGTCTTCGTGGGGGCTCGCATGGCCCACGACGATGACGACGACGATCCAGACGACTTACGTGTCTTACCGAGAACTTAAAGGGTATACATCGTAATTCTGCGTATAACGATCGGAGACAATAAGATACGTATCTACTAATAGTCGCTTTTCTTCCTGCGTTTCCCCGTACGACATATATAGAGAGAAATCCAAGAGAATCAAAGATGGAAAATATATACGCATAAAGAGTACAAGCGGAAGATGT